TGCATAAATTTTTCATAAACATTATTACTGTATTTACTGTAAAACCTACAAGTTATCCTTATTTTTGGTAATCTCCTTTTTTTTAGGTATAAAAAAATTTTAATTCTTTAATTCACAGATGCATATCAAATATGTGCACATCCGCCAAATACTTATGCTGGAACGTTCCCGACGAGTGGAGCATGGAAGACGCTGCAACGGTTCCGTGTGCTTACGGCACGTGCTGTTACGGATTATACATCAAGGCAAAAATGAAAAAGAGCGACACGGTACTTATCCACTCCGGCACCGGTGCCGTGGGCCAAGCTGCGATTTATCTTGCGTTTCACGAAGGTTGCGAAATATACACCACCGTTGGCACTCCGGAAAAACGAAAGTTTATCAGAGACACGTTCCCATTCATCCCAGAGAATCACATTGGAAATTCGCGAGACAACAGTTTTGAGCAAATGATATTTAATCAGACCAACGGCCGTGGCGTGGACATTGTATTGAACTCGCTCGCCGAAGAGAAACTACAGACGTCCATCCGTTGCCTCGCGAAAGGCGGGCGTTTTCTGGAAATCGGCAAATTCGATTTTATGGCCAATAATTTGTTGAACCTGTCGATCCTTTCAAAAGGGATTAAATTTTATAGCGTTATGTTGGATAACATATTCCTAGCTCCGGAAGAAATGAAAACAAATTTCCACACGACAGTGACCGCAAACCTCGTGAATAAAGCTATTCAACCGATTGCCAGAAAGATTTTCGAAAAGGATGAAGTGGAGGCTGCATTCAGATACATGGCAGCTGGAAAGCATATAGGAAAGGTAAGTCAATTTAGCTGGAATTAATTGTGGCTCAATACGCGAGATCAATTAAAGATAAAACATAATATATCAAATAAAAACTGAGTTATATAACTGAGTTAACGTACTTTTAGATAATCATAAAAATACACGAAGAAGATGAATCAATGAGCGCACCCATTCTTGCACTTCCACGTTATTACTGTCTATCGAATAAATCGTACGTCATCTTAGGCGGGTTGGGTGGATTCGGCTTAGAATTAGCGGACTGGCTGGTTGCTCGTGGCGCTCAGAATCTGGTGTTCATCTCGCGTGCCGGAGTAAAAAACGGATATCAGCAGATGAAAATCGATCTATGGAAATCTTATGGAGTAAGAGTTCTAATCATATCGGACGTCGACGTATCGGACGTCAAAGATTGTGAACATATACTGAAATCGGCGGAGAAATTGGCGCCGGTGGACGCTATATACAACTTGGCTGTGGTATTAAATGATAAAATTTGTCCGAATCAAACTATAGAGACATTCCAGGAGCCCTTCAAAGCAAAAGCTTGGGCCACAAAGAACTTGGATTATTTGACCAGAAAAATATGTCCTCAGCTTCGTCACTTTGTTGTGTTCTCTTCGGTATCTTGCGGCAGAGGTAATGCCGGACAGACCAATTACGGCATGGCAAATTCCATCATGGAGAGAATTTGCGAGAGAAGAGTGCAAGAGGGTCTGCACGGACTAGCGATTCAATGGGGGTGCGGTCGGCGATGTCGGCCTCGTGGCTGATATGCAAGACAACGACAAAGAAATGGTTATCGGCGGCACTTTGCAGCAAAAGATAACTTCCTGCATCTCGAAACTTGAGGACTTTTTGTTACAAAAACAGCCTATAGTGGCGAGCATGGTTGTAGCCGAAAAGCGGCTGAACACTTTTGGCGCATCCAGTATTGTCGAAACTGTGGCCAATATTATGAGTAAGTTAATAACATTAAAAAAATTAAACAATTTAATTAATCAATTTATTTTTAATGAATAAGTTTGAATTCATTTGATATAAAAGATTAATGTGTTTAATTAAATGTGATTAAAGTATTTAATATAAACTAAATAATTAAAACTAAAATAACAAAAACATTAAATTAAAATATAGATCTGAAGGACATGAGTACCGTGGCTCATCACATGCCTTTGTCCGAGCTTGGAATGGACTCGATGATGGCCGTGG